ATTGCTGTTAACTCAAGGCCGGTAAGAACCAGTTGAGTAGTTCCTTTGAATAGAGATGAAAGATTAGAGAAAACTCAGTTGAACTGAATGCTGTCCTCTGCCTCCTTTAGTCAAGTAATTAAGACCCCGTGTAGGCCATATCCTGTTTGATAGTAGCTACTTAAATTTAAGGCCGTGGAGGCTCAGCCTAGGCCTGCAACCTGGCAGTCAGCATGCCAGTACCAGAACAGAGGAGAAATAGATCCTACCCGCCACTGGGCTGTCATCTTTTGTCCTTACTGCTCTACCAGCTGCCCCACCATCTCCCTGTGCTCACCTCTCCTCCCACTCACGCTTTGGACCAGGGAGTTTCTTTCCCCTGTAGCAGGAAAGAAGCAGAAATCACTTCCTTCCCAGCATCCCTTCATTTCTGTGAACTTCTTGGCAATCCCTGTGTCTGGCTTATAGCTAAGCTTGTCCTCAGCAGCCTTGCAGTTGCTTTCTCTAGCCAGGCTCACACCCTAGCCTGTGTTGCTGGACCCACAGTGCAGTGGGGATCTTTGGTCATCCGTGCTAGAAGTGAACGGTTTTCTAACCTAGGTTGGGCTGGCTTCCATACAAAGGTGCTAATCAGAGATCAGTGCTCCGTGCTGGTGCTCTGAAGATGTGACCATTGCTGGAGAGAAAAATTCATAGCCATCTGACAAGGTGTTTGGAGCCGTGGTTGGCAGGAGGAGCAGTCGATTCCTTAAGGCCTGTCTTCCCTCAGTGGGGCTGCTGCCTTTTGAGTTTTATCAGACAGGAAGGGAATCTTCTCGAGGCTGCAGATGAGTCACTATCTTGGATTGCTTATCCTCTTCAGTCTCCAAGTTTTCGAAGTGAATTGCCCATTTCTTTGATTGAGTTAGCAGCCCCAGGGCTGATTCCCAGCCACTTTCCTCTCCCCATCCTGCCAGACCACTGTCTGCCCTTCAGGGCCAAGGGCAGCATACACGGTTGCTTGGACACGTCCTGCAGCCTGCAAATTGGACAGATGAAATCAATACTCATGAACCTGGAGAAGCCCAGGTAGCACAGTTAGTGACACTAGCTGCCTGAAGGGACAGCCTGCCACAAGAGGGGGTGTGATTGAATAGTGATTGGACACAGCAGCTGAGGATTAACCAAATTATGTCCCTTTGAATTTAGATTGACAAACCCTTCTCATTTGGACTTGAAAACATGTCAACTTGTGCAGACTATAGAAGAACTGCCTACTTAGTGTAGGGCTATGCCGGCATACATCCTGGGAGGGGTCAGTTCAGGCCCAGATTCAACTTATTCTTTTTGTCAACCATGAGAATAAGCTCCTGTCTGTGCAGCTTTTTCCATATACCTGTAGGTACTATAGAGTTTACTTCCCTCATAGTCTGCTAGGACGCATTGCTGTCTCTGTTATTCTGCTAAGGAGGAGGAGGCTCTAGGTCGAATGCCTTGTCCAAGACTCCATCTGTAAATGACAGAACTGTGTTTGGACTCCAGGTCTCCATGCATGTTAGAAAGTGCCATACTGTCTACTCAGTTTAAGTGCTTTAACCCATACTTCCCTGAACTTCATTGGTTTTCTCTGGGGCCAACAAGTTAGCTCAGAAGCCCAATGACTTGTGTTCCATCCTTGGGTCCTTCATGGTAGAGAACTATGTAGCTAGTCAAAGGCTAGCCTGGGCTTCAAAAGACCTTGGCTCAGCCCTGTTAGTTGAGGTGTGGGTGAGCCAGCCCCAAAGTTGTGAGCATGGGAGAGATGAGAGAGATGTTCCCATTCCTCATCTGTCTTGTCTGAGACAGGTAGGAGAGCTGGTCCTGTGGTCATAAGAGTGGGATAGCCATCCCTGACCTCCACCAGCTGCAACACTCGGGAGAGCAGGCCCTGCACCTTGCCAGGGCAGCACAATTGAGTGCAAGTGTGGGTGAGCCAGGCCTGAAATTGTGACCATAGGAGAGCTGTCCCCATTACCCATCTGTCTTGTGGCAGCATAGGGGAGGTGCCCCCCATCAACATCTGGGGCAGGTGGGAGAGCTGACCCTGTGGTCATAAGAGCCAGAGAGCCAAGCCTATTAGCACAGGTGTGAGTGAGCCAGCCCTGAAGTTATAAACACAGGAGAGCTGTCCTCAGGCCCAGACCCAGGGTTATAGCTTGACCCACCCCATCTATGTCCTGCTGGAACATGTGAAGGAACCTGACCCGAAGACCCAAAGCTGCAGAATCTCCACACCATAGGGCAACAACAGGATGGATACCCAGGAAGAGTCCTAATGATGACCCAGCATGGATAGTGTAGTAGAAACCAGAGGCCTCGAACCAGACAATGACTCTGCAATGAACACTTGCAAATAAAGATGTGTGGACAAAGGGTTTATGGCATGACTCACTGTGTCACACTGCAGCTTCCATGATGAGATTTTTTAAGTTTTTCCCTTTTTTAAATTTTTTTTCCTTTTTTCTCTTAAATTTTGCTTTATTAGGGGGCATGCAGGGGCAGAGGACGGGTATGAAGGGATGGGGAAATGAATGGGCCTCAAGATACATGAAGACCTTGGTTCAAAAATAAAAATTACCTTTTTTTTTTGGAAACAGTATGTCACACTTACAGGCTAGCCTCAATTTTCTTGAAATCCTCCTGCCTCAGCCTCCCTGCTGTTGAGTTTACTAGCACAAACCATTGCTCCTGGCATTGTTTGTAACCCAGGCTAGCCTTGAACGCACTATGTGGCTGAGGATGACCTTGACTCCAGATCCTCCAAGTACTGGGATTAAATGTGGACTCATAGAATTGCATCTTATTTGATGGGTTGTTATAGATCTTGTATAGACATATAAATATTATAAGCACAACTTACCTGATAATGCCCGCACTCACCAGTGTGTGTACCTTCACTCTAAGAAAAACTCTCTCCCAGTTCTTAACTTTGCCTCATCTCTACAGTCTTCCTCTAAAGAAAAGTATGTATGTAATTATAACAGGTTAGTATAAGCCATTGTTGTCATTACTCATGTAGTCGTGCCCAGATTGTCCCAGAATTTACTTAGGCAGATGTTGTGCCTGTTGAAGATAGCAACGTCCAAACCAGGTGACCCATGGAAAAGCCAACAGCACTGTTGGCTGCAAATACTGAAAAATCAAAAGAAAAACTGAAACGAAAGTCTGGCTTTTTAATAGTTTTGAAAATCCCAGGGATTTGTTTGACACACCTGCCATTTATGCCTTTCAAAGTGTTAACAATTTTGAAGGTCAGTTCAGAAAAAGTAAAAAATTACCTTTCACGAAGAGAAGATCGGGCAAAGGACACTGATAAAGAAATCATGAAACAGGGAACAGAGGACTATTACACCTAGTCTTTAGAAATTCAACTCGGCTAGGAATCAGAGAAATGAAACTTAGAATAGCAGTCTGGCTCCATGTTCTGTCTACAAAAGAAGAAAGAGACATGTCCGAGGGAGAAAAGGCACAGAGTTCCTGCATGCCTCATACTTGACTCATGAGAATAAAGATTAGCCCCATCTCTGAAAGGCAGCTCAACAATACTATCAGAGTCCTTTGAAATGCTTATGCTAGTGTTGGGTGCCATATGCTTGTAATACAAGCACTCAGGAACCTGAGGCAGGAGGATTTTCACAAGTTTAAGGATAGCCAAGGCTACATAGCAAGTCCTTGTCTCAGTGGGGAGAAGAAAGAGCTCCTTATACTTTCTCCTAGAACTGTAACTTCTAATAAAAATATTAAAGACATTCTCTTTTACAATAAAAGATTGGTTAAAAGACAGAATAGCTGGCTGTGGTGCATGCTTTTAATCCCAGCACTACAGAGACAGAGACAGGAGGAGCCTATGAGTTCGAGGCCAGCCTGATCTATAGAGCAAGTTCCAGGACAGCCAGAATGACAGAAACCCTGACTCAAAAATCTAAAACAAAACAAACACAGAATAATCTTAGAATACTCTACAACTGTAACAAATGATGTGTCTGACATGCATGAAAAGGGTGTTTGTGCATTTAGAGTTTATATATGACCCAGTTACTGTAAATTATAAATGTGCTTCCTGAAAAAAACAGTCAACTGTCCTGTTTTAAGACATCTTTCTTCTTTATGAAGTCTTTGTGGGACCGTGACGTCACAGGAGAGAGAAGGGAAGCTAACATACACTGAACATGTGACTAGTTCAAGCTCTGTGCCCCATGCCCTTGTGGAGTCTGCCAACTGTTAAACTCCTCCCAGTCCATTCTTACACAGCTCCTGGAATGATTCCTCTAATTGTAAAGGCTTGGTACAAATTATGCCATACTCTTTATAATGATTGCTCTTAGAATTTGGATTAAGAAAGTGGACCTAAGGAGATTCTTCCATTTTTGATATTTTAATATTGTCGGAATTTATTCTTGCGTGTGTGTGTGTGCATGTGTGGATATGTAGAAGAAAGCATATGTGATCATGTTGCTTTTCCTTACCTATGTCCTACTGTCCTTCCCCTCATTCAAACCTCCTTCATATAAAGCACTGAGCTTTCTTTCACTCGTATTGTGCTGTCCTGTCTCCGTCCTGCTAGAAGATATTACTCGGGCTCCTCCTGTGCCCTACTAATGCACATGTACTTCCCATCCTGACCTATGTCACACTTTGCTGTAGTGTTTCTACCTCCTTTCAAAGCTTTATTCCTAGGTGTTTTTATTAATTAAATTTGTTCTTAGACACTTTTCTATAAATATGAAATGTATTGACCCTCTCAGCCTTCCTCCCTCTTTTCTCCCTGTCACCCCTGTTCTCACCCCCAACCCCAATCTCAACATTCATGTCTATTCATATTTTTTTCTTTGCTATAATTGTACACTTGTTTCCTTCCCAGGAGTCATAAGCTCCATGTTATATGGAGTCTAGCCCATTGACCAGTGACTCGAATGTAGTGTGCACTTGTAAAGTAGTTGTTGGATGAATTGTTTGTCTTGTAGCTGTGAAAATCAGACCTTATGATCTGCTTTTGCTTCCAGTGTGGTGCAGGTCCTACTTGCTGCTGGAGCTGACCCAAACCTTGGGGATGATTTCAGCAGTGTCTACAAGACTGCCAAGGAACAGGGAATCCATTCTTTGGAAGGTAAGGTTGGGCTACCCCACTGCTCTGGGTGTCTCCACCTGTGCCTTTCACAAGCTTTGCTCAGTGTCCCAAAGGGCTTAGAAGAGATGCTTTTCATAGTGCCTTTCACCACTTTGAAAGTGTTGGGGAAAGAGTAGGAGCCTGAGTTCGTGGCTTAATTGAGGTGGGGCACATTTCTCCTCGTCTCCTGAGACTGGGAGCCTCAGAGGAGCAAGCAATAGAACAGATTTCAGTGAAATGGTTGAAGATACTGCGTGGAATGTGGGCTTGCTCCTTTTACTTCCTCTAGACTTCGTGCCCCAGTACTAGAACATACTGTTGTGGTTCCCTTAGCCATAGAGATCTCTAAGTACAACTTTGAATATTGCTTTTTCCGTGTGTGGTCTGATCTCTGGGACTGGCTCTTTGCTTTGCTGTGACCTAGGGCAAGAAACAGACCTTTGTGCCTTGATGTTCTGAGAGCTGTAGAAATGGGCTTGTTATTAATACCTTGTGAGTATGTGGGTGATTATTGGATCACAGAAGAGGTGTTGTGGCAGCTATCTGTTGGAGAGAACCTGGTCAAATTAGTCTGTGTTGTCTCTGCTGAGTAGTTCTTCAGAAATGAGATTGACAAGAGTGTAGGTTGCATTGGCTGCAGACTAATGTCTATTTTATATCTGAGCTTTTGCCTGTATAAACTGTGCCTGCCTCCTGCCCGTTGTCCACCATCACCCAGATAGACTGCTATTCCTCTGAGATTTGGTGACAGCACAACTTTAGCAGTGGCTGCTTTAGAATTGGTACTAGTAATAGCAGGACAGTAGCCCTGCTGACTGCCTTAAAAGTCAGCTCTTGAGCAGGTTGGCAGTGGCGCACGCCTTTAATCCCAGCATTCAGGAGGCAGAGCCAGACAGATCTCTATGAGTTTGAGGGCAGCCTGGTCTACAGAGTGAGATCCAGGACAGCCACCAAAACTACACAGAGAAACCCTGGCTTGGAAAAAAAAAAAAAGAGTCAGCAGCACTTGACTCCTAGAGGAGACTCGGCAAAGGAGAGACTCGGTGCCCTCAGCCCTCCGAGTGGATGCTCTGAGAATGACGGCTCTGTGGTAGCCCAGAGCAGAGGGTTTGTTGCTGCCTCGGGGAGAAAGTTTCTCAGATTGGTGGCATGAGGGGAGTGTCCAAGAGCATCAGGGCATTATGCCCACATGAAGTGCGGTTACCCTGCCCTCAGCTGCTACTCTGAATGCTCCTTAAATTTTGGCCTTTTCTCTGGTTATTTGAACTCCCGCCTTTCCATATGTCTTCTCTCTCCTTCCCAGCTGACAGTTCCTTGTGTGTAGGCCGTGACCTGTGCCTCTGTGAATTCCTCTGAGCTGGAAGAGTGTTCACTTTATACTCCAAACAGAAGAGAAGTTCAAGAGTACCAAACTCGCCCTATATTTGCTGCTTAAAATGGCCTCGGCTGATGGGCTGTCTGCTGTCACTCAAACGCAGCGTTCTCCTTGAGTCTGTGTGCGCGCTGTTTGGGCGCTCTCACCAGAAAGCAAGAAACTTTCAGATGGTGGGGCCAAGGAGTGGGGGGTCCAGGAATGCCTTCTCTTCTGCTCTGAGAATTTTAGCAGATGTTGTGGAAACTAGTCCAGCTTTTGCTGTCAGCTTGGTGGCTTTGTGTTCTGATGTTTCTCTGTATGTTGATGCTCAAATTCATTCTAGATCAATACAATAGTGGTCAACAGTTTGTTTGTTTGTTTGTTTCTGGGAATAGCCAAATTGTGTAAATTTCAACTTTACGGACCATTCATCTTTGGTTTGACTACTCAGCCTGACTCTTCAGTACTGAAGTAACCATAATGGTGCACAGACAGTCTGGTTCATTTATTCATTTGACCAGCCTCCCTGAGTTCTTTCTAACTCTAATGCCAACCAACCTTCATTGCAGGTAGACAAATGGGTAGGTTAGACAGACAATAAAAACATTAGGAAAGGCTGCCATGAAAGAAAGACAAAAGTATTAACTATTTCTTTCAATTCTGTATAGCCTGCAGTTCCAGTGGGCTTTCTGTAGATGCAGTATTTATTCCAAACTACTTACTGATCACATTTCTGTGTGCTAGCACTCTTCTAGGCAGCCACGCTCCCTACCATCATGCACTTTTTAGATCAAATGATCACAGGGCCATTGATGGTGCAGAGTCTCCAGCATGTGGCAAGGCAGTTTCGATGTGTTGTCATTGCCCACAGCTGTCGTCAACCAGCCCCTTCTTTTCCATCCTCGATCTTTGTCTACAAATGGGAGATTGTTTTCTACTGTTTGTTGTTAAAATAAAAAATGTCTCCTACATTCATTTTCCTTCCTTATCCTAATGACCTTTGCTTACCCCTGCACATGAATGACTTGTTTTCAAGGAACCTATAGGCGCTCAGTAATCATCAGAGTGCTTAAGAAGCATTTAAAAAATGCATCCCGGGGCCGGGCATAGTGGTGCACGCCTTCAGTCTCAGCACTTGGGAGGCAGAAGCAGTTGGATTTCTGAGTCCAAGACCAGCCTGGTCTATAGAGTGAGTTCCAGGACAGCCAGAGATACACAGAGAAACCCTGTCTCAAAACAAACAAACAAACAAAAATAAAGAAAGAAAAAAAAAGCGTCCTAGGGCTAGAGATGCTGCACAGTGGTAGGGTACTTGCTAATAGGCATGAGGCCCTGAGTTCAGTCCCCAGCACTGTTTTTTTTTTTTTTTGCTTTTTGTTTTTAATTCTAGAATTTGGTCAGGAATCGTTAATAAACTCAGTACTGGTAGCTTATAAGATCCCCTCTTCTTCACTGACTACCTTTGTCTGCCAGTTTATTTTCCAAGGTGTATCTGTTTAGATGTACTTTGTTCTCTGCTTTCTGGATGGGACTAGGATGATGACAGTTCATATATGTCATCTCAGGGCTCTTCTCTAGCTGCCAGGTTAATTATGAGGATGGCCTAACATTGTAGACCACATGTCAGTTTCCAGGATCCAAAGGTTAGATGCCCCACAATCCTTTATCATCCTCTTCACCATGTTTTCAGACCTTTCTCCATTCAAATACTCCTTGTCTTTTCATCCCTTCTGTTAGTAGTCATTGCCTGCCTGTTGTGAGCTAGGACTGCCCAGCTCTGGTCATCCTCATTGATGAGATACAAGTTTACGATCCCTGTGGTTCATTTGACTGACTTGACATGGGGGTGGGGAGCTGGGAGATGTGCAGGGAAGAATTTAGAAGAGTGAGTCTTGGTATCACAGAAAAGCCACAGGCTTAAGGCAGCTAGACAGTCCTTGCTGTCAGAGCAGAGTCAGTACTAATTCACCATATTTTATAATTGTTATTTCTGTGGGTCTCAACCTATCCTTGGTACTGAGGGAAGATGGTGGATTGTAATTTGTGACCTTGGCCCAATTCCCCTAACCCCAGTAGTATACCCTTTGTCTGCCTGTCAGTATCGCTGTGTTGACCAAGATATAAAATAATGTGACGTGTGAATTGCCAAGTTCTCTACAGTTATAATTGCTTATTAGTTCCACTTATTTATAATTCAGCTTGCTTTTACTGCATGTCAGGCACTCTGCCAGATGCTGGGAATATCTAAATGAATATACATGGTCTGGCCCCTCGGCAGTGCTCCTAGTCAAATAAGATGGACCTTAGCAAGGAGTCACACTACCGAGTGGTAAAGGCAAAGGTAGCTAGCTGTATGAAGAACGTAAGCAGCACAGAATGAGCTACTGATGGTCTCTCTAAGATCAAGCTGTCTTGGACATGTCATTGGGTGAATGACTTTGAATTGAGTCTTAAGGGTGAGTTGGAGATTGCCAGGTTGGCTGAGAAGAACTCTCCAGTAAGGAAACCAAAAGATAGGAGACACTTTGTGTCTACATTGCTTGCCCAGAACACACACAGCCTGAGGAGGGAAGAATGGTCTTTGCTCTCCTCACTGAGGCCCTGTCACAGGTCAGCCATGCCTAGGAATGCCTTTCCCCTGCCTTACATGCCAGCACTGCTCCTTGAAAAAAACTCAGGAGATACTGCCAGGTAACCATGGTTCATCTAAGCCCTGTTACTGACTGCCTATGTAATCTTGGCAAGTGACATAAAGTCCTTGACTTTCAGACTTCTCTGTGATACAGGGATAACAGCACCCATGTTGTTGGACTGTTAGGATGATTAACAATAACCATATGTATGTAAGAGTCAGTGGCAATGAAGTTCCTCTGTGAGTGTAGTTGGGTGCAGTATAAAGTCAGGACACCTGATTAGCAAGTAGTGAGCAATGTACCAAGGAGCATGAACAGGCTGGATATCTGCCCATCAAGGCTTTCTTAGGAGATTCTTGCCATGGGTCACTGGGTTATATGGGCCAAAGGTCTTGGTAACTGTATGATGTCTATGGTTCTGAATGTTCAGCTACACATAGAGCAAGTAATAAGCTCAGAGGAATGGGGATTTGAGCTGCTTCAGGCTCAAGAGGAGGGGGAAGGAAATACATTCTAAGAAGGGGACACAGATGGGACAGATATGACAGACAGGTGGGAGTATAGCTGTTCCTCTGCCAGCTCATTCCCTGTCTTGACCACATTCCCTTCAGAACCTCAGCCTACCTGCTCACTCCAGGAGACTTCCACTTGTGGCTGGGCAGTGGGCTCCGATCCTCAGGTGGAGGAGACATTAAATTAGTGGTAACAGTAAACAAGTCGCCCAGCCCGTGGATGCCGCAGGCTGCTTATAAGTAATGGTTATAAACATCCAGTGTCTGGTGCTGTCAGAAATGCAAGCGAGCACTCCAAGTGCCTCTCATATGTACAATTAAAACAATAAAACATGGTAGAAACGTGGCCAGAACAGGCCATAAGTCAGGCTCTCTTCTCAACTCCGAGTGGCAGCTGAATAAAGATGAGTCCTGAAGAACTGGGTTGGCATAGGGCTCTTCTAGAGTAAAGGCTTGTCAGACTGGACCTACCAGAGCCAAGCCCTCCCACCCAAGAACCCC